TTTTGGTTAAACTGTCAGCAAGGAATTTGCACTGTTACATTATTATATAACTTTAATACACATAAAAAAAACAGCTGTTTGTTTAAGTGAAAATACATTGATGTTTGTTTTTGCACTAATAAAGTTGTGGAGTTGTAAAGTATTTTGTCTAGTGTCAATTATATAGTCAATTATATCGTAATTGCTCATTTTCAAATGTATATCGTGATAAATATTTTTGGTCACATCGCCCTGCTCTAGCTCTGAAGATGTTTTACTAGTCGCTGGTTACTGGAGTACTTTTCTATGCCATGGTGTGCTGGGGGAGCAGCACAGGCACCAAAGGCACCCGCGGCTGCCTTTGATGGTGCAAAATGTTTCGTCGACACTGTTGTGTTTGTTGGGGAGAAAACACAACATACAGCACTTCATAGTCACACTACTAGCGATCAAATATTTATGTAAATTTAACAAGCTGAATGCATTCTGTACTGTCCAGGAGACACAGCACAAGATTGACTGACAATGGTCTTCAGCCAATCGGGAACATAATGGGCTGCAAAAAAAAAAAAAGATAGGAAAATTGCACAAATAAAAAAAAAAAAATCTGCGAAGGTGAACCGCAGTATACCACTGTATTGAAGAAATACTGATCTCTTACTTTACGAAAAATTGTGAGTTTAACTGGTGACATTGCTGTTTCAATGGGTGCTGATACAATTCAGAGTTGATACGCCATTTTCAGGGTCAAATTCAAGCACTTTTTATGCACTTTCAAGGTCCATTTTCAAGCTTTTCCAGCAACTAAAAAAAGAATGCATGTTTCACTTTGTATCATCTGAGTAAGACCATGTGAAAATGAAAATAAACCATCCTAGGTTGATTTAAACCCCTTTATTTCCCTTTTGTTAAAACATAGAAAAATGCAACACACAAAAATACTGAAAAAGGAAAAGGTAATTCCCAATAACACTAACTGTACTTTGTACTGTGGTACTTTGTGCTTAATAACATCCTGTACAGTCAGACAGGCATGGAGAACAGCACTGACTGGGAGGCTTTGAACAGATGACACATTCGGTTCAATTCAACATATAAGACTTTATGAACGCACAAGCATCTACCTAAAATCTATTTATTTAATCTGTCATCTGTGATATTATTATGTACAATTATAAGGTATTGCTCACCTTCCTTAAATAAATAGGCATCATTAAAGTATGAAATATTCATATATAAAAACATATAAATGTGTCTCAGTGGCTGATAGGCCCACAGGCCTCAGTGTGAGCTTGAAGCCATTTATAATCTGTGAGTTGTTTAATGTGTAGGTGCTCACGACAAACAGATTTTGAATGAAAGCCGGGTAACTGAAGGCTGAATTGTGAGCACACACATATTGTGTGTGGTGTGTCTATCTTACACTCTGTTAATTTTTTTTAATATAACAATAACAGTGTAACTAGGGCTGTGCAATATAACCAAAATCTCATATCCCGATATGACACATTTCTCATAACAATAACGATATATATCACAAATGTGCATTTTCTGTAACTTCTTTGAATTTCACACAAGTCGACTTAAAGTTTAAGGTTTATTTCGATGGCTCTTTTTGCCTCTAAACTTTCTCTGTACCCTTTCATGTGATTCTTCCATAGGTGGGAGAAGAGAAAAACAAATACTGCTATAAACAGCGCATTTTGCGACACCACGAAACAAACAATAGTGTATAATATGAAACGATAGATGTTTTTATATCGTCATCTGATATGTATTTCATCATGTTGCACAGCCATAGATTTAACTGAGATATTTTTCTCACCTCCTGTGTTGAAGTCATTGTTTGCTCTGTAGTGGCTGAGCTGAGTCCAAATGGCTGAAACTGTTCCTCTGCTGCTCCACCAGACTCTTCTCCTCCTGTTACTCAGCTGGGACACAAAAAGTATAGATATGTATTTTATCCCTGACAAGAAGAAGCAGAGCACATAAACATTACTACACTCAGTGACAACAATACCTATGAAGCTTCAAGGTGAAACCCCAGAAGCAACTACAAAAAGAAAGTCATCAGCTGCCTACAAGAACTTGAAAGGGAAAAAGCCACTGAGCTCCCTGCATACCACCACCTTTACCCAGGGGATGCTGCACCCTGTATATATGGACTTCCATAGATACACAAA